TGAGGTTCACATACTGGTTTATTATCACTTTGTTTAGTTACGCTGTTTAGTTACGCTGTGTATTCTTTTCTCCAACTTATTTGGCAACAAGGAGCACAAATTACATGTTTTTCTTTCCTTTCAGACCCTGAAGTCTCTTAAGGTGCGAGTGTCAGTAATTGGCCTGTCAGCGGAAGTTCGAGTGTGCACAGTTCTGACCAGAGACACGGGTGGATCCTACAATGTCATCCTAGATGAGAGTCACTTCAAAGAGCTGCTCATGCTTCATGTCAAACCCTCCGCCAGCAAGCTTCTCATCGGAAAGCTCTTTAATACGAATGGGTCAGTACTAGAATGTTTGACATTCATATTCTCTAAATTAACCAGAATTGCAACATATTTTGCTGCCGGCATTATAAAAGTTGAGTTTCCTCTCCTGAAAGAGATGTTTGGTTTCTTGAAATGTTTCTTGTTGTTTCCTTCAGTTATGTCATAGATTAAAAGTATTCTGGCACTGGAAGGGGAGTCGGGGTTTCCCCCAGAAAATTTGCTTGAGGTGGTCCACTGGCAGTCCACTGGGTTGTCCCTAATTTTCTTGATCCTATGAAGAATTCTTCCTTGCACTATCATCTCAAGGTTCCACAGTCGCTCCCAGAACAGAACCAGCCTTCTTTTTCAGGTTGCTGAGCCTTTTTAGGTCCCTGGTTCTGATGCTGCTGCCCCAGCAGTTGACAGCAGAAGAGAAGACACTCTCAACAACAGACTTATAGAAGATCTGCAGCATCTTGGTGCAAACCTTGAAGGATCTCAGCTTCCTCAAGAAGTCCTATCCACTCTCCTCCTTCTTATAGATGCTTCACTGCTGCATCTCCAGTCCAGTCTGTTGTCAAGGCAAACACTGATTATTGTTATGATCAATTAGGCATTAAATACATGTAGTTTTTAATTATTAAAATACTGTTACTGTATAAAAGGTCATTAGTGGAATGTCATAATATTGCACCCTAATCAGCTAATTAACTCAAGACACCTGCAGAAGTTTCTCTCACTCCAGGTCAGTGGGCAAACATCATGGGGAATACCACTAACTGGGCAGATGTCCAGAACAGAGTTATTGACACTCTTCACAAGCAGGGGAAGCCACAAAACATCATTGCTGAAGAGCGTGGCTGTTCAGAGAGCTCTGTATCCAAGCATATTAACATACAATTAAGTGGAAGGAAGAAGTATGGTAGAAAAAGATGCATAAGCAATAGGGAGAGCTGCAGCCTTGAAAGGCTTGTCAAGCTAAATCCATTCCAGAAAAGCATGACAAGCCAGAGACAACAGCTGAGGCATCTTACCTGGACTATTGAGTCTGTGTTTTGTTTGAAAATCAAGTTTCCAGGGCCCTTGAAATGCACTTGGTTCTAATGAGTAAAATGGCATTAAAAAGATGTAATTGTATTCAGGCCGTCTAGCTAGAGCCAGCTTCTTTGTCTGTGCTTTGTTTGGACTGTTGATACTAACATGAACCCATTTTTGCTTAGGTTTTCCTCAGCACACTGTAGCCTCTCTGAATGATCAAGATGTCAAACCGTCATTCAGCATGTCGTGAGTAAAGAAAAAAAGAAACTCCACCATATTAACAGCTGGTTCCCACAATGAGTTTTGTGTGTGCGTGTATGCGCGTGTGTGTGGTGTGTGTGTGTTTTGTTCCAAGTCATCTGGACAGCAGTGGCAGCCCGGCTCTGACTCTAGGAGGATACTTCTGTCCACAGTGTCAAGCAAAATACACAGAGCTTCCTGTGGAGTGTAAAGTCGTGGTGTGTGATGCAGGCATTCATTGTGTATGGAATGTTTTATGAAGCTGATGCTCATTTTTCTCTGTTAATGTCTTTAAGTTGACAAAGCTTTAACTGTGTGCATCAAACCTCTCAGGTTTGACACTGGTGTCTGCTCCACATCTGGCCAGATCCTTTCATCATCTGTTTCCCCTCCAAGCATTTGTTGAGAGTCCAGCTGAGAATTATCAACAGAATAGGTAATGCTTATTTTCACTTACCTGTGTCATTATTGCTGTGATGTGTGACCTGAAGTGTCATTTCTTTCAGGTTCTGTCAGGCCTGTCAAGGGCAGCTGAAAGATAAAAATGTAAGTAGAATTCCAGAAAATTGGTTACTCTTTAGATCAGGGGTGTCAAACTCCAGTCCTGGAGGACCGGTGTCCTGCAACTTTTAGATGTGCCTCTGCTGCACCACACCTGAATAGAATAATTAGGTGATTAGCCAGGCTCTGGAGAACTGATGTACACAAGGAGGAGGTAATTACACCGTTTCATTCCTGTGTTTTGTACCTGTGGAAAAACTGCAGGACAGTGGCCCTCGAGGACTGGAGTTTGACAGCCCGGGCTTAGATCTTCAAGGAAGAAGAGCACCAGCTCTATTTCTTCTTGGAAATTATTACATAAATGAGAATGTTTGGTTTGTATAAAAAGTTGTAGCATATATTATCAACATGAAAGCAGCTGTGTGTTTGTAATAGTGTTAAATGTTGAGTTCCTAAAGACCCTGGCATTTCTTTTGAAATTTGTAATCTTTAGAATGAGTTTTCTTTCCATTTTGTACAACCATTGTAGCCTTACAGTCAGTTGAGTTTAAAACATACACAAATTGTGTTTCAAGGGAACCCAGAATGAATTAATTTAACTAAAACTGGGGAAATAATTTGCTCTCACATTCCAGGCCAGGTATGTTAGCTACTGACCAGCTTTGTTGGACCAATCATTCCTCAACATCTGGAATGTTTTCCCTTCTCCCTCTCTGCTGGCTTCCAGGTCTTCGCCTGTCCTTTGTGCCGCAGTGTGTTCTGTGGGGAGTGTGATCTCTTCATCCATGAATCACTGCACTGCTGTCCCTGCTGCATTCACAGTCGGACTGCTACATGAGCCCCAAACTGAGGCGGTCCTAGCCAGTTTGGCACTCTGGGCAAAGCACTCTACAAAGGGAGTGAGGTGGATTGGGTGCACTACTGACAATCCGATCCTCCGGTTGAAAGCAGTGGGGGGAGGAAGGAGAGGAGAATATACACAATGTGAGGGGCTGAGGGCACTCATGTCACCCACAAGATAACACCCTGGGTGGTTGCCCATTTTGCCCATATCAGAAACTGCCACTGGGCCCAAAGAATCAGTCTTCCTGCCCTGTATCAACCCCTCACCTCTGATCCCTCTGTCTGAAGAATTGGCTCTCACACTCACAATTTTGTTTTCAGGCTGCATGAAGATCACCCTACTAACAATGCTTAAAATGTTTTGTTTTGAAGAGTAAAAGGTTGTTTTTCATTCATCCTTCCCTTCCATCGAAACATTAAGGATAAAACTGCTGTGTCTGTAAATAAAAAAAAAACTGGTTTGAAGTACAAAGTGCCTGATGTGGGTTTTTACATCATCTGAACCCAGATTTGAAGTATATAGTTTTAAAGTCTGTGTTTCAATGTTCAATGAAACAGATCTTTGCACTTACTCAAATGCTTTGAATAATTTATGTTTCTTGGTTGAGCTTCTAAAGTTGTACTACATGTTTTACCTGTACTGATATTATTTTATTATTTCTCCACACATTGACTTCTCCACTGTTTCTCTCCTTCAGTTAAACTTCCCACAATTCTGTGTTGCATTAGTCACAAGAACAAAGACCATATGACTAACCTTTTTCCTCCCCCTCTAAAAACAAACGGCAACAAAAAATAAATATTAGTAGTTAATATTGGCCCAGTTTTATTATACCAATATTCAAAAAATTTACCAATCAGTCGATACCGTTTTAGTACCACTATGTCATGCGTCCCTACTCTTTTATCTTCCTGTTTACTAATAAATATTAGAAAACTCTCTTCTAGGGTTGAATATAGAAATTATAAAATCAGGTGAAATCTAAACCACAACGCCACTTAAATCAGAAGAATTATTTACACCCATCACTTCTTTTCTACCAACATCAACTCTTTGAATAATTTAAATTAATATGAGTTACATTTAATTTCCCTTTGGGGTCAATAAAGTGTTTTTGAATTTCTGTGAAGAATATCCATTTTAATTGATGTCCTGTAATATTAAAATTTTGCTAGACACCTCCAAAAAAGTAAAGGCTTGTATTTCCAATGTAAACAACTATCTGCTGGGTGGTGTGGTTTTGTGAAAACAAATGGTTCACAAAATCATACCTTTTCCCCCAAAGACCATAATGTCAATCTACATCTTCTCTCCTTTTATAGCTCATCTCCATAGAAGCTATATTTTGTGTGGCAGTCTTTCTGACTGTGATTCCTTCTTGGAGGAAGACATCAGCTGAGATAATGCTGCCACCAATTAAGTTGGTCATGACAGATGGCCACTTGTATTGAGTCAGGTTCTGGTTCTGCTAGAGGTTTTTTGCAGTTAAAAGGGAGATTTTCCTCTCCACTGCTGCTACATTCATGCTCTGTACAAAGGATTGCTGTAAAGTCAACAGTACAATGCAAGCAGTTGTCACTACAGGAGGAATTAATTCTCCAAGTCAATGACTCGATGCAATCTGCTGGGTTTTCTTGGGTACAAACTTTTTAAACCACTTGTGCCATGAAACAATATTTCTTGTGAATTGGCACCTTGGTTAGTGTTCAGCTCAGGGAAACAATCCATGATACTTGTGACTATGACTTGGTAGAGAGCAGCTTCTCTCCTTTCTCATGTTTTCAATTGGTTTCTTGTTCTCTCTTTCTCTTGCAGTTTTTTGCTTGAGTTTCAGTGCCACATGTCACTAATGCCACATGTGGCACTAGTGACTTCTGAACCACTTCTTGTCCTCACTTTGTCATATGTCTAAATCTTGTAAAAAATATTATTTTGTCAGTATCTTTGGGAAACTAGAAAATATCCTTTATAAGATTATTATTTAAGTGTACAGAATAATTGTTTAAATTCAATCAATACCACCTATGTACACAGGGGGCAGTAGATGAAATATACGGAAATGGTTATCCAGGACTAGATCGTAATTTCCGGTTGGCGGGAAACGCTGGCTGTCAGCAGTTTTGAGAAGAAGACTACGTTCTCCATGTCGCGGGTCCTGAACGGAATTGTGGCGGTGTGCCCCAACCTGGGCATCGGGAAGGATGGGAAGCTGCCCTGGCATCCTATTCGACTCAGGTCAGTTACCATTGCAGTTGCTCAGGAGGGAATGAAGCTGTGCTGAACCCCTTTGGGATCAATAAAGTCATTTGAATTTTCAAATTTTCAGCAACGAATTCGCTCATTTCCGAAAGATGACTGCCACACCGTCTGTAGCAGGTAACTTAATCCTCCTTAGATGTCAGAGCCTCCATAAACATGGGTTATGGAGTGCTACAAATTTAATTGTTGCTTCTTAAACCATCAATTTCTCTGTGTGATGGGTACGCAGAGAAATTGTTAAACAGTTGTATTAGTAAGCCACTGAAACTCTCCTGTAGGCAGGAAGAATGTGGTCATCATGGGAAGGAAGACCTGGTTCTCAATCCCAGAGAAGAACAGGCCACTGAAAGGCAGGATCAACATCGTCCTCAGCAGGAAGTACAAGTATGACGCACAAAAAAACACAGTGCACGTGACCCACCGTTCAGGAACTCATTGTCAGCATTTTGTTTCAGTTTTCTATATGTAGTTTATATTTTACGGTACGGATCCCCGAGGGGACATGGGAAATTTTTATTTGCGTCCCCTCGCAAAAGGTTTTGCATTGTTTTTCTTTTCGCAAAAGAAAAAAACAATTCCCATGTCCCTTAGGGGGCTCCGTAATATTTCACTCTCTGGTTTGAATACAAAATAATTTTTTTAAAAACAAGTTTCATTCAGTCGAACACATCCCTGGTGAAAACTGAATGTACTAAGTACATTAAATTTTAGTATACTTAAGCATACTTTAAGTCACACTAACCATGAGTATACTTCAACTTCACTTAGGATTAGTTAACTTAAAATGTGACATTTTGGAACAACTAATGTGCTTAGTGTATTTTAATAGTATTTAAATTGTAATTACATTGTGCTTTCAATATACGGTATCACTATTTTGGTAACACTTTATTTGATGGAGTGTGCATAAGACTAACATGACACCTGCCATCCAACTTTTAAAGCAACTTCTTATTAAAAGTGTCATTATTTACTGAATAACACCTGTTAGTATGTTCCTAACAGGTGTTATGACGTGTTTATGACAGTATCTTGTCCGTCTTATTCACAGCCCATCAAATAAAGTGTTACCCACATTTTTCAAGAGTACATTGACAATACACTATCACAGAATTGTACAAATTGTCAATATAGTCAAAGTTCACAGACAACATGCTTATGAAAATTAGCACAATAAAACAACAGGTATAAATCAAATCATGTTTATTAAGCACTTAGTGTTGCTTACACACCAGTTTTTGATGTTAAAAATGTGACCAACTGCTCAGTAAAAAAGAAAAAAAAGACTTACACCATGAAGAAGATGTGGAGGTTCATCCTCAGAACTGGTTGGTGATCTGGTGGAGCCAGGGCCTCTTCTGGACAGGAAAGTCTTTAGCTTTTCTAATTCCAGATCCCTGGCATCCTCTTTCATCTGAATTTGCTTTGGTTGAGTTTATGAAGAAAACTATCAAGTTGCAACAAACAGAACCTCTATGTGGTTATAAAGTTGAATGATTGTTATCATAATGATCATAAAGATCACAATAAAACTGACAAAAGAACTATTTCTGAAACCAACATAAGTTCCTTTATAAATGTACTGCACTGTTTCCAATTAAACAAAGATAATTAGCATTTTTGAGCAAACTTACCACCAGCTAGCAACGCCTTAGCAGCCTTCCTGGCTTCGGGCTCCTTTCATGACCCACATTTCATTTCCATCGGTTCTTGTCCTGTTGTGTTGTTTCACTCAGACTGTGATGTCACCAGCTTGAATGTACCAAAAGGTCCTCTCTAATTTTAGTTCAATATTATGCGAGTAAAAATGGCTAATTTGAACAGCGTCTGATACCTTCATGGGTTCATTGCTTTTCTTCTTTCTATGGTGTTTTGAAAAAAACAAGTACACCTTGCTGCATCAAACAGAAAGGGGTGGGGATGGAGCACTGTCAGTCTCATACCTTATTTTACCTTATTTGGAAATGGGACCATTGAACTCCAGAAGTGAAGGGGGCGCTATTTCCTATATTATCTGCTGTCTCCTGTTTTTATTTTCTTTTGAAATCTGTGATATATCTTCACCTTTAGGAAGGAGTTTCACTCAGCATTGTGCTAATTTTAAACTTTGTCAACTTTGAATATGTTGACAATTTGTACAATTCTGTGATAATTCAGTGTACTCTTGAAAATGTGGATAATATTTTATTTGACGGGGTGTGAATAAGACTGACCTGATACTGTCATAAACACATCATAACACCTCTTTTAATAAGAAGTTGCTTTAAAAGTTATATTAGAAGTCCTTTTAAAAGTGCCAACTTTGCATTATTTTTTAAATAATGACACTTTAATGCAAGGGTGGGCAATTCCAGGCCCAACTTTTAGATGCGTCTCTACTTTAACACACCTGAGTCAAATAATGAGGTCATTAGCAGGACTCTGGACAACTTGGCTGCACGTAGGAAGTGATTCAGCTATCTGAATCTGTGTTGGACCAGGGAGACATCTAAAACTTGCAGCACACCGGCCCTCAGGGCCTGGAATTGCCCACTTCTTCTTTAATGTAAAATTGGCACTTTTAATGGACTTTTAATACAACCTTTAGATCAAGAAAAAGAGATCGAATGAGAACCAGTAACCTGGACCTAAAAAGCTGAAACAGGAACAGATGGAAAATTTAAAAGGGCTGTAGTTCCATAGAAATGTCTAAATAATTTGGATAAAAAGAATTTGTGTATATACTCATGCATATGTGTGTATATGTATGTGTGTATATACTGGATTAATGCAGTCTACCTTGATGCCAAGTGACCTGCAGTGTTAAAGCTAACCTTATCTGATCTAATTTGCTCTAGGGTGCCACCTGCAGGAGCACACTATGTGGCGTCAGACTTCAGCTCAGCTCTAACATTAGTTGACACAGAACTGGCAGAACAAGCTGACCAGGTCTGGGTTATAGGAGGAAGCTCTCTGTACAAGGTCATTATTTTTTTCTGTTTCATCTTAAATTCCACCCCGAGGTAGAACATTTGACATGTCTAAACTACACATTTTTCTTACTCTAATTGCTCTTCTGCTCACTGCTTCAGTTAATTTGTTTTTTATTAAGCAAATTAGCTTCAACTACCTATAACTCTCCCACTTTTTGTTTTGTTTTGGGCTGCACAGGAGTTGATGGAAAGCCCAGGAACCAGGAGGCTGTTTGTCACACAAGTCCTGCAGCAGTTTGACTGCGACACTTTCCTTCCTGAAATCGTCCCAGACAAATATCAACTGCTGCCAGAGTAAGGGCATCATAATCTTTGGTAAAACGTATTTAGGTGTGAAACATCCCTTTCATTAATGTAGAGTTAAAGGTTAAGGATTATTTCTGGCTGATTTGTAGTTGGAATAGAGTCGAATATTTAATGCACAGTGTCTGTAGTCCTGTGTGGAGCTGAGTGTGAACTAGGCAGAGGTTATAATTGGGTTCAACAGAGTGAAATGAGACCAGAGATTGTTAGCAGGGCTGACAATCTCTGGGGCCATGAACAAAGTCTGTTTTTGGGGCCCACTATTTCTGCTAATGATGCAATCAACAGTCAGACAATTAGATAATTTGTGCACCTGCTATAAACATGCTGTTTTGAAGCCAAAAAAAACCCTCAAGTATGTGGGACCAACCACGAGAATCAACTCATCTAAGGTTAAAACTCAGTTTCACACAAATGCAAACATTCTACCATAAATGTTTGGCTGTTGAACTGGACTGTTGAAGGTCACTATGTGTTTTATGAATACTGTACAGCAATTTGGTGCGGTGCATATCTGTTTTAAAGTGCTTTTTAAATTAAATTGACATCGACTGTAACCATGAGGATGTGCACGAGGTTTGACTGTGAATTCCGTTAGAGCCTGCTCTCCCATGCAAACAGTTTCTGATGAAGGTGATATTATCTCAGAGCAAGTCCTTGAGTCCAGCCATTCCACGGATGTCATTCGGAAGGGGGAAAGAGAGGAAAGAGCGGCTTCTTTACATATCCTCCAGGGGATTAGGGATAGCAGCCAGCAGGGCAAGAGAAGACAATTGAGCTAAGAATATTCTTTAGTTCTGACATATTTAAAATTTTAAATCTGTCCTAAAGTCTGTGTATTTCTGTTAATTCCAATTATTCAGATTAAAATGGCCTTTCCCACCGTGCCGGACTTGCAAATTCTCCCAGATCAATTCTAACCCACTGGTGAACTCCAGTACCTGCAGCCGGGCTGCAAATCTCAGCAGGAATTGCCTCCGGTTTGCTGTGTCCCACAGCATTCACAGTGTTCACCAGAAGGCCGCGACAATTCATCACACTGCTCAGGCAGCTCGACAAGGGTCGCAACATCTGCCAACGTCTTCTGAATTTGTCAATATGAAATCCCGTTATGAAATAAATACAGACCCTCCATGTCTGTATTTTATTATAAAAACATTAAACTTTGATAAATCAGTTATTGCTAATCATCAGCTATATACTTCTCTTACATCTTAATGTCTTTTTAGCAACAAGATTGTTATGACCTATGAGAGACATATTTTTTTGTAGACATCCCAAGAGTCCAAAATGTGTCCCTCTGGGTGAGTTCTCGCAGGACATGCGGGCTCTCCTTTGCCAAGTCTTCTCGTTGAGAAAATTTGATCAATTGCATTGAGAGACCAGCTGACCAGATCCATATGTAGATGAATTCGATAAAATTAAGTTTTGTCGTTTGTAATTGTTGACTTCACAGTGATTCCTGTAAAGTCAACAAGGCAACACAAGTGCTACATGTTCATCCAAGAGGAGTGAAAGCTGCTAGTCGATGTTGACTTTCCTTAGATAGAAGCTTGTCCAGTCTATCACAGACTACAAACCCACACCCCCATCCTGCCAGACCAACACTGGCTTCCTCAACGAGCTCAACAACTTCTTCGGAAGATTTGAGGAGCTGAACAATAACCCTGCGAGGAAAGCGACGCCACTCCCCGATGAACAGGCGCTCAGACTAGAAACATCAGCAGTGCGGAAGGTTCTGAGGAAGGTCAACGCGCGGAAAGCTGCAGGTCCAGACAACATTCCAGGTCTGCTAATCAAGGAATGCTCGGACCAGCTGGCCCACGTGCTCACCGACATCTTCAACACGTCCCTGGACCAGGCTGTCGTCCCACGGTGCTTCAAGTCTGTCGTTCCGGTCCCAAAGTCAACCACCATCACATGCCTTAACGACTTCGGCCCGTCGCACTGACATCCACCATCATGAAGTGCTTCGAAAGACTTGTTAAGGACCACATCATCTCCACGCTCCCCCCATCACACGACCCTTTCCAGTTTGCATACCAGTCCAAGCGCAGTGCTGAGGATGCAGTCTCCACTGCTCTCCACCTGAGCCTGGAGCATCTGGAGGAGAAGAACACCCACGTGCGGATGCTGTTCCTGGACTTCAGCTCAGCGTTCAACACCATCATCCCCCAAGACCTGGTGGGCAAACTGGGCCCCTTAGGAATTAACACCCCCCTCTGCAACTGGCGTCTGGACTTCCTCACTGACAGAACCCAGGCTGTCAGAATGGAGAACAACACCTCCGATGTCATCACCCTGAACACCGGCACCCCTCAGGGCTGTGTCCTGAGCCCCCTGCTGTTCACCCTGATGACCCACGACTGCCGTCCACACTTCAGATCCAACCACATCCTGAAGTACGCGGACGACACCACAGTGGTGGGCCTCATCCGGGACAACAACGAGACGGCCTATAGGGAGGAGGTGCGGCATCTGGTGGACTGGTGCAGAGGAAACAACCTGATCCTGAATGTCAACAAGACCAAGGAGATCATCGTAGACTTCAGGAAATCCAGACCCACCCACACACCACTCCTTATCAACGACTCAGCAGTGGAGGTCGTCAGCAGCACCAAGTTCCTGGGGGTGCACATCAAAGACAACCTCAGCTGGTCTCCCCACATCTCCTCACTGGTGAAGAAGGGCCAGCAGCGCATGCACTTCCTGTGTCGGATGAAGAGAGCATCCCTCCCGCCCCCCATCCTTCAGACCTTCTACAGAGGGACCATCGAGAGCCAACTGACCAGCTACATCTCCATCTGGTCTGGGAGCTGCAGGGCCTCTGACTGGAAGTCTCTACAGAGGGTGGTGAGGACAGGGGAGAAGATCACGGGGGCTCTGCTCCCCTGCATCAAGGACATCGCAGAGAGGCGCTGCCTAACTCGCGCTCACCAGATCCTCTTCGACCCCACCCACCCCAACCATGGTCTGTTTTTCCCCCTGGCGTCTGGAAGAAGGTTCCGCAGCATCTTGTGCAGAACAACCAGACTACTGAACAGTTTCTTCCCCCGGGCCATCAGACTGCTTAACGCCACATAACACCCCTCCACACACTCACAAACCAAATCACCCCCCCATGGACATGGTCAATACATGCACTTTAGTTTAGTTTTTTTCACAACACTGAACCTGTGTATTCTATGGCACTTGTATTGTATTTATTTATTTATTGGGTAATATAAGGTTTTAGCTCTGCTACACTGGTAGCCAAGTAACGACATTTCGTTGTCAAGATTCACCTTGTGTTTTTTTTGTACAATGACAATAAAGGAAGTCTAAGTCTTATTAATCTACTTTGGATAATTAGTTGATAATAGGCTCAATTGGAATGTATGTGGGATTGAATTGCTAATTTTTCTTTTGTAAAGTGCCTTGAGATGAGTGCTGTGAATTGGCGCTATATAAACAAACTAAATTGTAAATTAAACTGAAAAAAATCAGATATGTGAAAAAATGTGAGATTTTATTTTTTAAGCTATATTGCCCAGGCCTAGTAATGACTAATAAAAATGGTAGGTTAATATATTCTAAGAATTAAAAATGCATTTTACTTGTTAATGTCATATTTAGCCAATTGGACGGCCTCTCCCTAAGGACGCAAATCACCAAATCATCATTAGCACTGATGGAAGCACTGATGAGAAATACACTAGGAATGAATTGCAACTGAGATCATCATTGCAATGTTTAATGTTATTATTGGCATCATTAGATTTTCTAATATGGTGCAGCCCCACTGGGCCATACATGGAGGCTTTGGCTGTATAACTAACACAGTTTGGGGAAACTGACATTGAATGTGCAATTACATCATATTTATTTTCTTCTTCAGGTTTCCAGGAGTCCCGAAAGAGCTTCAGGAGGAGGAGGGAATCCAATACAGATTTGAAGTGTATGAAAATATTTAACAAATGACATAATATGAAAAAATAAGATCATGAGACAATGTACTGTAAATATTGATGCATAATTTTGTTTTACTGTTGGTAGCAGAGTCTGTCCTGGCTCCTGTAGGTTAAACAAAGAGTGTGCTCACTGTTACGATCAATTTGATCGGCATCTCTTGGGAATGCAGCAGGAGATATGAGAATTTCATCATTTTCCTGCTCAGTGTTGTATGTTGATTGACTGTGATAAATAAGTGTAATTATTATTGTAACTGAAGCTTCTCTATTAAATACAAATGCATGTATTAGTTCTCTCACTCATATAACTTAGAAAAACTACTTGACCAAGCTGAAGCATATCAACGTTAGAAATGTTTAATTTGAAATAAAATGTTTGTCTTTTCAATCATTAAGTCCTGATTGTTTTGAGTCTTTTCATGTTGGTTGTGCTGCTCCTGGTAATGACGTTGTTGGGAAGTAGGCCATACTCAGAACCAATAGAACAGGAATGGAAGAAATGAATCTTCAATTATTCCTCTTTTCACAATGTAGATGTTCTGCTCTGTTCAGGTCAGTTTTCTATCAGGGCGGATTAGAGGACATGTGGCACATGGTAGAAAGCTGATTTTTGTGTCTAAAGAAAGAAAACTAGAATATTGGTGATTAAATGAGCAGTATCTTAGCAATGATCCATTATTTCAGGAGTTAACTTTTAGTGACTAAAGGTTTTTAAGAAAATTAATAGAAAAGAGGTCTTTCATTGTGATGACAATCTGGATCTTTAACACTGTCCATTGACAACCATGATTTCATGTGATAGACCAATAAAACAGGCTAATTTTTGTGAAATTGATTGAAAATTATTGCCTGGAGAAAAAGCAAAAGCAGGTCTCAGAGCTGTTGAGCATTTCCACAGACACATGGGGAGGAAACTCGAGGATTGAACAGCTGCAAAGCTAAAATGAAGCTAGAACTGCATATCATGGCTTCCTTGCCTGACCCAACAGCCTCCTCCCCCCTTTTCACCCGTCTTCCCACGTGCACCCCCAAGAAAAAAAGAAGTCAACAAATCATAATGTTATATATCATACATACAGGCAGTATTGCATGTAACCTAAATCATACTTTGGCCTAATAAACGGTGTATATAGATTTGAAGGCTTAAATAGTTAGCCTTCAAATCTAACTATAGTCACTTTTTTTTTTTTTTTTTTTTTTAATCGTTATTACTTTGACAGCTTCTGTTGAAGTGATTTTTTAATATATATTTTATTATATCAGGGCGGATTTGGCGCCATCATGTGGCCAAAGAGGATTACTACACTATGGTAGAGATGTTTTTCACCTTTTGGAAAATTTTATCTTTCAATACAAAACAATATCAACAAGTCAAGAACATTGTAAACAAATGTATGGAGAAGAATCATAATCATTTCTTATATTATGATGCATTCAGACAGAACAGCATGTATTGAAATCATAATATGACCCAATGCACAGTGCAGCCAAATACGATGACTAAGGTCTTTCAACCTTATACAACTGAGATCCTTGTTGGCATTTAAAGGGATATAAAGGAGCAAATAGTGTGTTTTATTTGGAGAAAAGGGTCTTGATTTCCCATTTGGGAAAAGATTTCTTGTATTACTTCCTTTTTCTACTTTCCAGAAAAAACCCCAACAAAAAACCTGCAAACCAGGTACCCCAAATGACCCGGATACACAGCACTACTTTATTTTACAATGTATTAAAAATCACTTCATTGTGAAAGAATGACAAAACACAATAAAGTACTTGTATATGAAAGACATTAAGATGTAAAAGTAAGAGAAGTATGTAGCTGATGATTAACAATGACTGATTAATCAAAGTTTAATGTTTTTATAATAAAATACCTAAAAATTAAAAGAAAATTTTTTTTCTTATATTTGAAATGACAAATGAACATTAAATTATGGAATTGTGAAAATGTGTTCATGAACACACCTCTGTAAAGTTGTGCGTCTGTTCATCAATGCCAATATAAAAGCGATTGGTCAGAATATGTTGTATCAAATATAAACTTTGTGCTCTTTATCCAGAAAGCTTCCAAAACAATTAATTGCATCAAAAAGTTAGAAACGTTGTATTTAGTGCTTTCTTTGATATATATCGGTGTGAGAGAGAATGTATCAGTGACGGGTATTAACGGGTATTAACTTGTAGAACAGCACCTTAAGAAGTTCAGTCCATTTACTTGTATTAGCTCAGTGAAAAACATGCCACAGTCAGTAAGGTGGAACCTGTGATGTATTGCAGTAACGGGCCGACCCGATCAATGAGCCGACTATGTTCATGTCCGTGGATTCACAAGGGTCAGAAGAGAAGCAGAGGAAGTGATGCTCACATCTCATCCATCCTGTCTATAAACTTGGAGACACGGCTTATCTGGAGTTGGTACATTATTATGACAAATGTGGCACTGTCAAATATCAATCAATCAATCAATCAATCAATCAATCAATCAATCAATCAATCAATCAATCAATCAAATGTTATTTGTATAGCACATTTCAGCAGCAAGGCATTTCAAAGTGTTTTACATCATAAACACAAAACACAAAGTCATGCAACATAGAATAAACAATACATTGTTACATCATTACATTTTTAATTGATTACTTTTCAAATCAAACTCTAATCAGGTGTGTTTTTAGTTGAGATTTAAAGGAAGTCAGGGTTTCTGCTGTTTTACAGTTTTCTGGAAATTTGTTCCAAAGTTTTGGTGCATAGATGCTGAAAGCTGCTTCTCCTCTCTTGGTTCTGGTTCTGGGGATGCAGAGCAGAACCAGAACCAGAACCAGAACCAGAACCAGAACCAGAACCTGAGAGTCTGGAAGGTTGATAGAACAACAGCAGATCTTTGATGTATTGTGGTGCTAAACCGTTCAGTGATTTATAAACTAACAACAGTATTTTAAAATCTATTCTTTGAGCTACAGGGAGCCAGTGGAGGGACTTTAAAACTGCTGTTATGTCTCTATCTTCCTGGTTTCAGTGAGAATGCGATATGACATTACACCTGCCATGAACATTTAGTCTTCATGAATGTCAAGTTGTCATAACAAAGACATTTTAAACAACATCAATTTTGCATTAAGAGTCATTATTTAATGAATGACACTTAATGACAATAGCCATAAACATTCATGAAGACTCCTTCATGTTCATGTCAGTGTCATGTCAGTCTTATGCACACCCCTTCAAATAAAGTGTTACCAAAATTTGAATATACTTTGGATCCTCACATGCCGCCTAACAACACTGAAGCACATCCCTAGCCTGTGTGTTAGCCACAGGGGCTTTCTGTCTCTCTATATCAATGACTTCTGGGAACATTGTTGTGTCCATGTAATGAGTGAAGCTTTTTGTGGTACAGTCTTCACCAAGATAAATGTGCCTGCAACCTTGAACCATCCACTGACGTTGGCGGTACTATTGTCATTCCACACATCAGCAGACTGAATGCATGAAGGTGAAAAGAAATTAGTCCTACCTGCGCAAGTGCTTGACTGAATCCATCATCTGGATACTGGGGTGCTCATAAAAGAACATGCTGTCATTGGTTAGGCACCTCCTGCCTCTTTGATGCCATAGGCTAGGCTTTTCTGTTCTCATCTGACGTACTTTAGACTTCAGTATTCAGTACCTCTTTTCACTCGTCAGCCTGTCTGCTCTCCCTCCAGGCTCCATTTGACCTGCAGCCTGCCAGTGGCCTATCAGAGTAAATGGCACTTTCAGGATTTTATGAGAAGGAATGAAACGCTTTCAGGTAAGTTCATGCAGAAATTTTATTGGTACACATTTTTACTATTTTTATCTAAATGAAACATGTTCTCTGATAAGTTTTGTCTTTTCACTTTTTCTTTGTGAAAGTTTTGACTTAATCTTGATGGAAAGTGGCACCTCATACATGTAATAAGTATTAAAAATCACTTCATTGTTATTTTTATTTTCTTTATTTAGCGCTTATGCCGAAATCAGAATGTTTTATTAGACTTTTGCGTTTTTTCATTTGAGACCAAACAAAAAAAGTCAAGCTTAGAATTTGTGAATGTTTTTAAACTTTTATCAAATAATTTAATTAGAATTTCTGTGTTACTTTTTTCTGCTTGATTTTTCATTATAATTTCTAGTCTATCTGTCTACATAATAGGGTTAGATAGTTCTTTTCCATGTCTGAACAGATCTAGTCAATAAATTAAATTAAATTGAAAATCCCATCTAATTAAAGAACTATTACTAAATGAAACACTCTAAATTACACACAGATGGATGTTTGAAAACCTCTATTTCTATTAGACTGATTTTCCACCTACAGCAAATGAAAATATGACATTAAAATGAGATTATTAAAATGAAAAAACTAATTTAAAAATGTAAATGGAGCCTTAAAGTTGCATGTAACTTTTATAATATATATATATATAAAAAAAAAAATAAAAAATTCCCTTCTCACCCACCGCGGGTGGTTCTTATCCTCTGAGCTCGGGTCCTCTACCAGAGGCCTGGGAGCTTGAGGGTTCTGCACAGTATCTTGGCTGTGCCAAGGACTGCTGCACATTTCTGGACTGAGATGTCTGATGTTGTTCCTGGGATCTGTTGTAGCCACTGCTCCAGTTTGGGGGTTACTGCCCCGAGGGCCCCGATGACCAAAGGCACCACTGTGGTCCTCACCTTCCAGGCCCTCTCCAGTTCCTCCCTGAGGCCCTGGTATTTCTCCAGTTTCTCGTGCTCCTTTTTCCTGATGTTGCAATCACTTGGTATTGCTACATCTACCACAACGGCTTTCCTCTGTTGTTTATCCACTAAGACAATGTCTGGTTGGTTCGCCATTACCATTTGTCTGTCTGGATCTGGAAGTCCCACAGGATTAGCTCTGGCGTTTCTACCACCTTTGGGGGTGTTTCCCACTTTGATCTCGGGGTTTCCAGTCCATATTCTGCACAGATGTTTCTGTACACTATGCCTGCCACTTGGTTATGTCGCTCCATGTACGCTTTCCCTGCCAGTATCTTGCACCCTGCTATGATGTGCTGGACTGTCTCAGGGGCCTCCTTGCAAACCTACACCTTGGGTCTTGTCTGTGTAGTAGATCTGGGCCTCTATTGCTCTGGTGTTTAGGGCCTGTTCCTGGGCGGCCAGGATGAGGGCCTCTGTGCTGTCCTTGAGTCCAGCTTTTTCCAGCCATTGGTAGGATTTACTGATATCAGCCACTGGGTTATTTGCTGGTGGTACATCCCATGTAGGGGCTTGTCCTCCATGATGGTATCTCTGGCACCTCAACCTCCGTTCCCTGTTGTCTGAGACATTCACTGAGCACATTGTCTGTTGAGGCTTTGTCCCTGATGTATTTATGGATCTTAGTTGTTTT